TCTATGGAGAAGGGGTAATGTCTTTCGTTTCTTTTGTATCTTTATACTACCAAAGTGTTGCTGAGATCTTTTTTGTGTGTGTGTGTTGCTGAGATCTTTAAACAGTTCTCTGTCAAATGAGTAAACTGAAATAATAATCCTGAAGGATTTTTTTAATCTCAAAAAATTTTTAAGTCCCGTGTCTCTTAAAGGAACAATTGTCAAATTAAGGCGCCATTTCCAGGATTTTAGTTTATGTATTAGTTGTGCTTTGCCTCCACCCCAAAAGGATTTAAGGTGGGCTTAAAATATTATGAACACTAGACAAGATTATTAATTCCATTCCTGCAAGCTCTAAAATCATATAGTTTTTGATACCAATTCAAACAATGGAGAGGTTTTTTGTTTTTTTTTTTTAAAGATAAAAGGCATGCTTTATGATATCTCTCATTATCACGCTAAGGAAAAAAATCACAGATAAAAAATTTCAGAAATATTTTTGCATCTTTGCATATCGCACACACACATACATACACACTCACACTAGAACTGTACTGGCAATGAACATGGGTTGTTTAAAGTATAGCTATTCAACTGTCATATAAAGTGAAATCTATATTTTCTCTCCTTATATGACTATATATTTAACATCTCTATGCATATGTGTGTGCATACATATGTATATGTTATATACACACACTCCACATTATTATTTCAAAGGGGATTTTGCTCCTTCTGGCTACCAGCAATAACTAGTCAATATTTACACTCTTGAATATCGATGATATCGTGCATACACAGGAAAGCTGTGGAAAACATCTCCATTTTCAAACAGAGTTTTAATTATTTGTAAAGACTTCAATTGTTCACTATCTAATGTCATGGATTGGTCCTCACAGTGTGAAGTGCAACTGTCCAGAACCCCCACAGTATTATAAATAGGCTTCTAAAGCCTGCTTGATTGATGTTTGGCATAAAACGCTATTCCTCTGAGCACATATATTCCTTCTGTTCACCATTTTCATAGAAAAATACCAGGGCTGATTTTTTATTCAAATCTCCAATTTATGCAGGGTTTAAACTACTAAATACTTAAAGCCTTTTTCAGATCTTTTTTCCGTTTTCTGTTAGGTAGGTAACTAAATCTTTTGCTTCAACACAAATAAGAATTGGAGATTTAGCAGATTCCTGTGGGGGAGAGAAAGAGTTTATTAATTATATTGAGACTCAAATAATATGCTTCTTTGACACTAATGTTCCATCTTTCTCCACCCCAAGTATCCTATGGGACAACTTTAAAGCCTTTATCAGGGTCTAGATTACTGCATTTATGGTTCCTTAGAAGAAGGAATTTGATGAATGGCATTCTGTGTTGAAGGGAGAATTTGAGATGTTTTAAGATTTAAGCTGTAACAGTGAAGCGATTTTTTTCAAAGTATGTCCCAGGGATTGTAATATAAAACATAAAAAAAAAAAAGCACAATAATGTACATTTTCATGAGTTTTAATAAGTTGTTAATACTGATGAAATGTAAATGTTTCCTTCACGGACCCTTATCTGCATTTGACAGAGTCCTACAGAAACTTGAAGTACCCATTTAAAGCAATTTACAAGATAATGGAGAGATTCCCAGCAATAAAGAATGATTAGCGATCTTCTTAAAAATTTTTATATTGACAATATTAAACCAAGTGCCTTATCCGGATTGAACTGGTTCTGGCTGGTGTCTGTATTGGTACATTTATCAAGAGTGCACGTTTACTTTATAGACTCTGTATTAGAAACACATTCTACTTGAATGCCATTCTGAAACTACCCTTACCTGATGGGTAACAAAGTAGTTAATATTTACTGGGTATTTTTTACATGTCAGACACAGTGCTAGGCACATTCCCTGTATTCCTACACTGGGTTTTACTGTAATGGAGGATCATACCTAGTTATCACTCTTTTTTTTAAAATATTTTATTTATTTGAGAGAGAGCACGAGGGGGAGGGGCAGAGGGCGAGGAGAAGCAGACTCCCCACTAAGCAGGGAGCCCAACCCCAGGACCCTGAGATCATGACCTGAGCCAAAGGCAGACACTTAACTGACTGAGCCACCCAGGGGCCCCATGTTATCACTCTTTTAAGGCTGAGAAATTTGAAGCAGAGAGAGTGAAAGTGATCTACCCACTGTCTTAGCATAGGCTACTAGAACAGCATACCCTACAGCAATATACCCTAGACTGGGGGGAGTATAAATAGCATCAATTTTATTTCTCACAGTTCTGGAGGCTCGAAGTCCAAGGTCAAGGTGGAGTGGGCAAGGGATAAAACTTCGCCGTTTTTATATGGTGCTGATCCCATTTGTGAAGACTCCACCCTCGTGACCTACTCACCTTCCAAAGGCCCTCACCTCCTAATACCATCATATTGGGGTTAGATTTCAACATATGAATTCTGGGGGGACGCAAGCATTCAGATCATAGCACCTGCTTAGTAAAAGTAGTGAATGTGAGGACTGGTCAGTAGCAGTCCAGATCCACTATCTACTATCTGGAAAGGGCCAGAGAGTAACTGTTTTAGGTTTTGCAGGCCATGTCATCTCTGTCACAACTGCTCAATTCTGCTGCGTTAGTGTGACAGACATCACAGATAAGATGTAAATAAATTGTGTGGCTGTGTTCCAATAAAACTTCATTTAAGAAAAAACAGGGAGTGGGTTGGATTTGCCTTGTGGGCTATAATTTGCTAACCCCTGCACTGTCCTGTTTCGCTTGCATCTTCTATGCCAAGAAAACTCACTAAATGCACATGATTTTGGAACCAGCAGGTCTCCATGCCCGGTCAATCTTCTGAGCAGGCAAAAGCAGTGTGAAGTGAGGGCCTCAGAAACGACCTCACACCTGAGCACTTGACATAAACATCATTGTGTCAGAGACTTTGGAAGGCTCCACTTAGAATATACCATACTTACAAGAGTGGGGTCTTGAATTAACTCATGAATCCTCATTATTATTGCTTTGTGAGTTAGAATTACTATCATGAAGCTGAATTCCACGCCTGCCTGAATTTCTGGTGTCCTGAAGGCCACTTAACCTGACCCACAAGACAACCTTACTTCATTTTCCAGGGGTTGGTGGAGCCCCCAGTTACTCTTACTGTTTAATTGCAGTTTTAACCTGTTCCACTGGATGTGGCTGGGCTGGTGATTTACTGGTTTTCTAGTCCACTGAGGCCTGAAGATGTGTCTAACATGGCCAAGTCTTTAAATCAAGAACTAGATCTATTGGCCAGCCTCTCTGGTACCAGCTCCCGCCCTAGAATTCTACTTTCACCTGCTCCTAGATGCTCTGTTACAGTTCAGCCATGACCATGTGTTAGAAAGTAAATACTCTTTCCCCCTGTCAAGGCCAGATCCATTGTCCTCCTCATCAGATGCTGTATTCTACAGGACCAACTGAAGTTTTTGGCTACTAAGCCTTATCAGTGGCTGCCTGCCTACCCCAGTGGACAGATGCAGGTCTAGTCTTGGATCCTCTCAGTTCGCTCTAATGGTAGGTTATCAGCTCATGCTTGTCCATAGGGCAGGGAGAGCCACATGGGACAAGGCACGGAAAACAAACTCCCCTACTCTACAGCTTTGCCTAAAGTAAAAGGATACCTTTCTTTCATTCTCAAAAGCTAAGTAATATGATCATAGAGGTAGTTATTATAAGAAAATTGCATTAAGATTTGACTTTATATTTTCTGAAATGGGCAAGATAAAGAGAATACAGTCTTGGCCTGATTGGTAAAATTACAGATGCAACTGAGTGAAAGAGAAACCAAGATGATAGTCAATATTAAGAAGAACCAAGATTAAACTTTAGATAGCATATGATTAACAATGTTCTCTCTTCCTCACTCAGACATCTTTTATAAAACTCAATTTTTATCATAAATCTCAGTGATGATTTTTGTATTAAAGAACTAAGTGAAATTTTTAACCAGAAGGAAAATTCTCTGGTGTTGGATTTAATCCTTGAAATCAATCAACAAGTCTTTTAAGGTCCTTTAAATCATCACAACATGAAAGGGCTCTAGGGGCTCAAAGCCAAAGAAGTAATCCCTTGACCTGTGTATGACCGAAAAGAATGATTGTAAGCAGTGATCCCTGCTCTTAAGTAGATTATAGTGTCATTGCAGAGATAAAATTAAGACATGAGACAATTAGAACAACTAAACAGGTTGGCACTTAGTCTATGAGTTCAGAGTAGGAAAGGATGATGGAACAATATAATCAGTGCTTTGTAGAGAAGGTTGGGTTTGGGGCAGTTGATATCTGGGAGCCACTGATAGTTTTATACAAGGGAACAACTTGAATGTGGGTTTCTTGAAGGTAGAGGTGTCTTAATCTCTTTGGTAACTCAAATACAGGGCACACATCATGGCATTGTAGGTGTCTAAGAAAAATTTATTTAGTACGAAAATGGAATTTCAGTGGTATGGAAGATTTATTGGAGAGATTGGAGTCAGGAAAAAGAGATGATAATGTCTTGATGAGCAGCAGTATGCCTGATTGTTTTTGCCAGCCAAGACCTGTAATAGCTACCAGGATTGGGTCACCTCTCAAGACATATTCAGTAAATTCAACATATTAGTCTTGGATATCGATCAGCAAGTTTTTTCAAGTGTTTTTAGTACTCCAAATACTGTAGACTTCAAATTTAATGCAAAAAAATAGATCCCTTTCTTGAGTGAAACCACAGAATGATTGTGACTGATTGTATTTTCAAGGGAAATAGCGTGGTAGAGAATCTCATGGGCTCGGGCGTCAGGTCACAGTACATAGCTTGGTCACAGAAGTTGTGCGTTATTAGCCGGGGGACCTTTGGTAATGTCACTTTCCTGTGCCTCAGTTCTATAACCTGAAAAGTACAGATCATGGTAACTATCCAGATGGATTTTGGTGAGGATAAACATTTATGAAACATAGACTATGGTTCAGGATAAACCATTCATCGAAGCTCTTTTCACTTCCTTTCTCTGCCTACAGCATTGAACGAGAGCCTGGGCTTGGGTGAAGCCAGGGTGTCCTGAAGGTCCTGGGTCTACAAGACTGGAGCAGCATTGGGTAATGGGCACCAGTGCCATGGATGCCATCCGTGTGCAGGTCGGGACACTAGTCCTGAGCATGAGAGAACTCTTCTGGTGAGTGCAAATGAAAAGCACCGAGCACTGAGTTTGCCTTGTGGAATATCCGTTGTTACGGCTCAAGATGTAAAAGGAAAAAATGCTATATATATATTTATTTATTTGGCAGAGAGAGAGAGAGAGAGCAGGGGGAGTGGCAGAGGGAGAAGCAGGCTCCCCGCTGAGCTGGGACCCCGATGCGGGCCTGATGCCAGGACACTGGGATCATGACCCGAGCTGAAGGCAGATGCTTAACCAACTGAGCCACCCAGGCGCCCCTATATTTAAAAAAAAAATCAATTTACTTGCAATGAAAGGCAAATGAGCAAAAGAGATGATATTGTTGGTCAATAATAATACTATGTAAGTGCTTTAGATTTTTGCAGAGTTATTTCATTTGTATATACACTGGTGGGTTAACTAGTAAAAATGAGTCCTAATAGAAGAGTAAAGTGAGACGGTTGTGTTCTGCTAAAAAGGAGTTCTTTTTCTTCTTCATGGGCGCAAGAGGAGTGGGTCTGTTAAATTAAGGAGAAAAATGTTGGGGAAAATTGGGGCATGATTTTATTTCTGCAGTGGTGGAAACCAGTTTTCCAAACAATTGAAAGCAGATGCCTCCATACCAGAATTGGAAGTTTCTAGAGCCTGGGTATTTCCCAGAGGAGCTTCCATTCAATGGCTAGCAGGCTGTTCTGATAGGCAACAGTAGATGGACCAACTGAAGTCTGTGTGGAGGGTGCTGCTCAGAGAGCCCACATTTTCCCTCTGGCTTCTCCCTTTATTCTCTCAGCCCTTGCCCTGGGTGCATAGTTCTGCTGAGTGTCGTGTTTTTGCAGCGGCTCCTAAGACCCTCGGGTCTTCTGTATGTTGGTTCATCCTTGGTTGGTGTGGCCTTATCCTGAACATGGCTGGGTAGGTTCCTCCTAGTCTGGGTGTCCCAGGGCAGTGCACTGGGGCATCAGCTCAGCTGCCCACGGCCCACATGGGATCTGTTCATCAGTATGGTCTCCTCTGAAGTCGCTGAGCCATTTGCGAGCCTCACAGAATAGCAGATAATATGGCTGGGCTTAGAATACAGGTGTTCAGGTTCTCGAGCTGTTTCTGCAGACCAGTGATCATCAGATAAGGGAGGCAACTTCTCTATCCCTTCTGCCCCGACCAGGATAGCATATCATAATTAGGAGAAGAGAGTGAAGCTTGGAAAAACATATTCAAATCATTCTAAGTACCAAACCACCAAAGGTAAGGCTGCTCTGAATCTTTTTGGTTAGTGAATAAGCACATGTTGTAGGTGGTTCTAGTGACTATGTGACATAGTGACCCAAGCGTCAAAGACAGGAAGGAAAATGAGAACTGAGAAATGCCCCCTGGATTTGCCAGGTAGAAAGGAATGGTGACCTTTAAAAGCCTAGTTTTGGTTCTGTAGTGAACATGGAAACCAGGTTGCAGGGATTAAGAAAAGAATGGATAAGGAGAAAGTGTTGGTTAGGCATGAAAGAGAGGAGTAGAAGTATAGGAGGAAAGTGAAGTAGAACCTGTTGCAGGAACACAGCTCTGTCTCCTGGCAGACTGGATCAGGGGCACCTCAATGGCCCTGTCTCTCTCATTTAATGCCATGGGTTACTTAGCAGTTTATATTAGAAAAGTGGAAGAATTATATTCTAATATATTAATACATTTAATATATTAGGAGGTGTTTGTCTATCCCTGAGGTAATTTCTCTACTTGTATCCAAAGGAAATCCCCCATCCCGCTGCTCTCTGCAGCCCTCCCCCCTCCCCAACCCTCCTGCAGGACTAGACAGCTAGACAGTGAATCACCCAAAACAAAGGCTGAACACGTTTGAAAATCCTCTGGTCTTAGTGTAAATCAGAAAGATTTGGAGGCATACTTGTTGAGCAAGTTTTTCTGCCTTCAGAGACTAATCTAGTTCAGAGATTAGTTTATAGATCCCCAAGGGCAAGGGAGGGGAGGAGGTGAAGGTATCAGACAAATGAAGAGCAGGAGATTAAAAAAAAACAACCCACAGGTCTCTAGGAGGGAAGGCACCCCTTTGTCCCCCACTCCGGGTACATGGAAGTCCACTTAGCACCCAAGTTGTCCTCTTCATTGCCAACTGGTGAGAGCCATCCTTGGGCAGCATTCAGTATGTCACTCTAGAGACAGGTTTGTGCATTCCTCAAGACCCAGCCCACACGTCATCTCATTTATTATAACCCCAGGTGGTGGGGCCCAAGGTGGTGGTAACAAGGAAAGGAATGCCTTCCTCCTTCCCAAGGTGTCATTAGATGGAACCCGCTGTCCTGTTACGTAGGCCTTCATGAGTTTGTCTTCCCCACTATACTGGGATACTCCTGAAGGCAAAGACCATCTCTTTCTTACCTTTGCATACTCCAAATTTGGGATAATACCTGTCACAGAGCTTAATTAGTGTTTGTTGAATGAATAAATGAATGAATGGCTGATTGATGCATAAATAAAGGGAAAATGTTTAGAAGTGGAAGTCAGAAGAAGACAGAGGAGAGACTAAAGATGTTTGAAGAGGATGATTATTTGAACTGCACCAGGAGGTGATTGGGGAAGAAGAGGTTGAAAGATGAATCCCAAGTCCTTTGGGGGCTTTCCCTTCATAAAAGGGATAAAATGATAGATGGAGAGTCTCTGACATGTTGGGATGAAAAAAGAACAGGATTTTTTTTTAAATAGCCATAGTTAACACTAAATTTATCTTCTTCATATTTCCATTTCTGACCGTAATATGTGTCCAGTAGAGTTAGCAGGTAATAAATTATCAAGATGATCTGAGAATCTATAAAAGATAAAGTCATGGGGTATTATTTTAAGTCTTTCAGTCTTCATATTTAGAAAAGCATGTCACGATCATCATCAGATTATTTTCTTTATGATCTGAAAACAGAATTCTGCTGTACAAGTATGTTCCAAGTGCCAGATAAAAGTGTGTGTTCTTAGAGCTTCAAGGGGTTTCAGTTATTCATTCACTAATTTTTCACTCCGGTTCATTTATTCACTCATTTGGAGGCATGAACTCAGCTCCTGTTATGTGGAGATGCTATGAGGTTGCCCAAGATGCAGAGAGGAACACAACGCGGCTCATAGTCTAGCAGAGGAGACAGACAGCTGCTTGCTTCATCAGCTGCTCTCGGCCAGGATCTTCTACCTACAACTCCAGACTCCAGGACTGGAGCTCTGAAGCTCTGCTTGCTTCTTCCCAGTCTCTTCCTAGGAGCTAGATCTTGCCTCCTCTCCAGAGAATGTAGCTAGACCTTGTGTTCTCAATTGGCCTCTACCCCAATACCACCTTGTTCCAACTGTGGCTCAACCCAAGTCTGAATTTGACGTGGTCTTTGCACACTAGCTCTGGACTACCTGACTAGGGCCATTCTTGGCATTTAGGTCTAGGCATTTCTTCTCTCTCTTTATTGCAGCTCTCTCCTCCCTCATGCAGTGCCTTGCTTTGAGGTCTGCCAGCCTGTCTCAGGCTAAAGTCAGCTCCAGACAGCCCCTCTTGCCTAGCTCTGCCAGCGCCCCTGAACTGGGATGGTCCTTGTGGATACCTCTTTGGTCAGAGAAACTTCCTTTGGATACTGTTTAGAAGAAGAGAATGAGTTCTTGCTCCTGTCAGGGCAGGCCCAGGCACTGAGCAGCCTGGGCCTCCAAGGGGGCTGTTTCACTGGGTGGCCTCGAGGAAGACTGGGGAGATAAGAAATGGTATGTGAGCCATCCATTAACTCCATCACATAGAAGCGGTGCCTGGTGCCCATTTCAGGGAGGTGTAAAGCTGTGGAAGTGACTTGATAGACTATATGTAATGTTAGCAGAAGAGACATAAACGGAAGGAAATATTTCTCAATCTCTAGATCATGTTAATAAATTTTGGCATATACTTTTTGGTGTGAGAGGATATTTCATTTGGAATGTAACAAGGTTTAAGAAAAACTTTCTTTACATAATATCACTCCTTAATTTAACTAACCTTTAGAATTACTTTTGTTGCTAAACCGATTTGTCAATTTGCCTCACAATGTTATATTTCTCTGTGCAAGAATAACTGTTTAAAATATATAAAGGCACCACAAAAAAGGGAAAAAAGCAGCCCTCAAACTGTTATATTTTGGAGGCAAGGGAGCTATTTCAAAATCAGAGCGCTGCAGTCTTAATTTCCAGCCTTTCAAGTCTGTTAAAAAATAAGTATTTATGTATTTTAAAACAGGCAGAAATAACTTCTTTATTATAAACAGGATATCACTGAAAATTCAAATTTTTGAGCCGATGGAGAAAAAAATCGTGAATCATCAGTTTGTCAAATGTCAACATCAGCTCAAGCAAATTTGGGTTGACTTTTCAATAGGTTTCTAATAGCTGGGGTAGCGGAACCTGCTAGGTCTGGGGAGCGGATGAGGAGGAGCAGAGGTAGATATATTCCCTGTTTGGGATAAATGGCATCTTGCTGCTAAAACGAGCTTCACAGGTTAGCCGACAATCATTAGGTTGGTGACTTTACCGATACCCAGGAGATGCTTGCACTGGGAATAAATTTCTATCTCAAAGCATTTGACAAGCCTTAGTTCCTGATGTCTCACACCCAAGCCTTACTTTATAGTCACATCTGTTAGTTTAAAGCATTTTTAGTTTATTGAAGAAGGCTTCACAAAGAAAAAACAGATGATGAAAATCTCATCTGTCAAAACTGTTATTAAAACCAGTAACAGTGTGAAATTTTGTTTAAATTGAAAGCATCATTTATTTTTATCAAACATTTTATAAACAATCACATTTGAGAAAGATTTGGGGGACCTGGAGAGCCCTCAACAAAACGCAACTCATTATGTTGCTTTGTTCAATGTGTGGCTCAGAGATAGGCTGGGGCTACTTCCCCCTTTCCCTGCCTGAGACCAGAGGGGTGGAGAGATTCCCAAGGGCAGGGAGGGAAAGTGAGCAGGACAGAGGAGAAGGCCTGAAATGGAGGCTGAAGACCCATGTGGCGATGGCAGACAGTG